TTATTTATTATAACATGTTATGCTATAATATATAATATGTTACAACATAACCTATGTTATGCCTAATACAATATAACCTATATTCTAGTTAAGTACATTGACATTTAGTGTGTTTATTGTGAAATTATATTACAGATTGAAGCTGTATTAACTTTTAAATAAAATGAAATTTTCTACATTGTCAGAAAACGACATTCTTTATAGGGACTTGTGCTGGCAACTGATTGCGGACCACAACGTGTGACCAAACCATGTATAACAATTCGTCGTTTTCTTTTTGAACTCGTCGGTATGACATCACTGGATAGAAATTATTGAAAAGTAGTAAGTTTATTATTTGTTTTGCCTATTTTGTTTTACTTAAATATATAATTTTACTTATTATAACATATTATGCTACAATATATATAATATATAATATGTTACAACATAACCTATGTTATGCCTAATACATTCTAGTTAAATACATTGACATTTAGTGTGTTTATTGTCAAATTATATTACATATTGAAGCTGTATTAACTTTTGAATAAAATAAATATTTTCTACATTGTCAGAAAACGACATTAACAACTTGCGCTGGCCATAACGAGTGACCAAACTGTATACAATAATTTGTCACTTTCTTTTTAAACTCGTCGGTGATATCGCTGGATAGAAATTAGTGAGAAGTGATAAATTTATTATTTGTTGCCTGGGTTACATTTAAATATACGTAAAACTGAAAAAATATTACAATTTTGGAACAAAAAATTCTTAACGTGCGTGGCACGTCATTCCAGTGCAAGTGGTTAATCTTATCCTACTAATATCCTATTAGGTATCACAATCAGGAAGTATAGAACTATTCATCATCTTATGGATCACATATTCCGAAATATCCAACAAAAATTTAAGGCTACGACTTTCCACGATATTAAAAAAAAAAGAAAACAATTATAGATTAAACAATTATAAAAATATTATATTATATTATAATATATATGTAAATTATATAATATAATTTAATTATAATTATATATATTATATTATATTATAAATAAATATGATAAATTAATTATATTATAAAATTAATATATATTGTATTATATTATAAAAACAATTATAGATCAACAATTTTAGAAATCAATGATCTTCCTAACAAATAATTGAACAAGATTTTCGAGTTACATAAAAACTAAATTGTCGATCGCAGCCAATTAATTATGATACAATTATTTACGATCTTATTTAGTTATAAGAAATGATAACGATTGCCTGGGTTTCATCACGTGGAGATTGCCACGCTACTGAGAAAATGTTGCAATTTGGGACAAAATATTCTCGACGTGCGTGGCGCGTCGTTCCAGCGCAAGGGGTTAAAAAAAATGTCGGCAAAGCAGATGAAACCCCGCGATTCGGATTTGTTATCGGATGAAAAGTTGACAGACACGTACCCTCAGCGCGATCGCAAAGGGTCCCTTATGCTGAGGCTGTTCGCGAACAGTTCGCAAGTTGCAAACGAGTTGTTCGAAAACTGCGAAGATACCGTCGTATCCACACTGGAGCTCGCGAACAGCTTCGTGGACAGCGAAACATTAGTCGTGCATCAAATACAGACTGGAGCTTGAAAGCGAGATGTTACAATCTCGTCCAGGCACGCTCGGAACTTTGGTGTACCGTCTCTCGTGCGGACACTGTTCACTCAAGTTCGCCGTCCGCTAATCAGCATACTGCTCGTTGTTCGCTGAAGTGTCCACACACTGTTGGCGAACATGGCATCGCGAGAAGGTAAAGACAGAGTTTCTCGTGAACGTTTTCTACGTAACGTACACGAAGAAAGAAGAACGCGCACGTTTCATAGAAAGCAGGAGGAGAGGTCGCTAGCTAAGAATTTCGAATCTGTTGGCGCAAAGAGTGATTGATTGGCGAAAATTACTGACAGATTGATGGAAATTAATGGAAAGCGCCGGTGAAAATTAATGGCTCGACTCTCGCGGATCGCGGGGAAGTTAAAATGCCACTCGATCCGCGTACACGTATAAATCTACCGCTTGTATGACGCGGATATCAGTACGCGCGTGTAAGTGTGATTAAATTTATGTGCGGCTGCAAAGTATCGGGATTAATGACCAGCTAGTTGAAACGAAAATCTGCGAGAATCTGCTCCCGACTGAAATGCGTTTCCTCCGATATGCCATGTCGTTATAAATTCCTTTGATAGGCCCGAATTTCATTGTAATTATCCGTGTGTCATGTCGCGTTGCGATTTAAAATACGCATATACGCATATCGTAAATACGTGATCATAACAAAATACAGTTCGATACAAAAGCCACTGTTTTTGTTTATTTCTGATGATATTTGCAAGAGAATATATATTTTGGCCACTCCTATATACAGAATATTATGCGCAAAATACATGCAGAAAATTTCATCCGTGCATAGCTTGCGAAAATATTGTAAATACAAGTCGAATTCGATGGGATGAAATGATAGCACGCCGTACAAAAAAAAAAAATATATACAATGAATAATTAATTTACTTGATTTGAATTTATTAGTTTATTAATATTTCGTAGTACCTCCTTTTTTTCTGCTTTCATTAAAGATGCTCAAGTATCGATGCGAATAGTTTTTCTTAATTTTCTTTTGTGGAAAATTATTTCACTTTTATTTTTATGATATATGTTTTATTTCACGTTTAACACTTCTCCGGCAGGATATTTATTATTTATTGGAACGATTTGTAGAAATTTTGTAAACAATTGTACAATTTTATTTTTATTTTAACATTGTAACGATCGAACCTGTCATTATGATTTCAAACTTTCTGTTTGCTTAAAAAATACGGATATTCTTGTCAAAGTTAATATTAGTTTCTGTTTGGACAGATAATTTATAAATCTATTTATTTTAGTAATCATTTAAATTATAATTGTACGTAGAACATTTCGATACTGTTGTTAATAGATATTTTCATTTATTTATTGATATTCTTGGTAATCAACCAAAAGTCAAATACATGTATATATGTAACGCTCGTCGTAAAAGTATATTAATTTTTATATATTAATTTTATTTTTTAATTTTCTAACATTTCTAACCAAGCTTGCCCAAACGTTTTCGATTATGTTTAAATTAAGAGAACGTGCAAGCAAATTCGAATTTTATATTTCTTTAAATAAAATAATTTTGCACGGCTTTAGCTGTATGAATGGGTACATCGTCTTGTTGAAAAATCCGTCTGGGTGTTTTTCTAATTGTTTAATTACCTTGGACTGAGATGATAGAATTATATCTGTCTTTCCGTGGTAACTGATTGCGGTCCACATCATAACAGTTCCTCCTCCCATTTATCGACGGCTTAAGATGACTCTCTCCTTTCGTGAATCATGAAAAATAAAAATGCCATGAATCTGTGCCATCAAAATATTCATCTTTGCGAACTCTAAACGTTTTCCTCTGCAAATTGGATGTTTATGGTCAGCCGTTGTTCTAATTTTTTACGTTAGGATTGTTGTAGAATACATAGCACATTTTCTTGTTTCATTTGTTGCAATTCCTCTGGCAGTAAAATAGCTCACTTCTGTAAAATTAGACGTAAAGTAGCTCATTTCTGTTGTTTTATTCGTACTTGCGGTCGTCACTTTTGTCGTTTGTGCTTTTCTTTCTTCCATAATTTGTTGGATGTTTCAATAAATTACGCATTTTTACATTTCTGCACGATCGAATTGTAATTTTACAATTTCTGAAATGGAATAACTCTCTGATTGTAATAACAATAATTCACTCTTGTTTAGAATTTTGTCTTTCTTTAACCTATTTTCAATATTAAATAAAAAATAATGCACCGAGATATTTGTGGATTCGCTGATAACTATAACATAAGTGTGAAGATAATGATAAACTTGAGAAGTAGAAATACGTCAAACGTGCTGTCATTTTAAACATACAGTTAGCTTCTATTTAGATTATGTTCCACGAATGGAATTTCTGCATAATTATATATAGAATGGCTAAAATATATTACAATATGTGGCGGATATTATCAGAAATAAACGAAACTGGCTGTCTTTTTGTTCCAGACTGTACGTGTCTGAAAATGGAAGAAGACAACATACTCTGAAATTAAACGGTCTGCGATACTAATTCCTCGCCGTGTTCTCGTTTACGCTTGTAAATTCACCGAGTACACCGATGCAAACAACCAGCAATTTCTTTTTGCAAATAGCACTGTAAACCCGGGATCTCCCAACTACAGCAACGATCGACTTTCCTTTAAAATTTTACGACCATTTCTATTTCTCTTTCGACTTAACGTTTCGCAACAAACGATCGCGCGAAGCTGCAACAGCTTAATTTATTAACGTGCAAAACTTGTCCGATATTATACGGATTAGTGTCGAGTTTTCTATTTTCAGTATTGGTTGTTTTATTAAATTTTTTCCCCTAAAAATCATTCGTATTTTTCAGCGAATCACGGATATTACTCTGCTTCTGTTTCTATATGCCATTTTAATTTATAAAACCTACAATAGCAATGAAAGTTTGATCGCGAAGGATTTTTTTGTTTGCAAGCGTACCGGAGTTATTACCATTTCAAAAAGTACATAGTCGGAAATGTCTGGAAATTAAAAAGTTCCCGAGAGTTTTGTTCGGTTCTCACGAAGATCTCGGGGAACAAAGTGCGCTAACCTTATGCCTCGTTGTCTGATTCGACCTTCGCGGGATAAGGCAAAGGGAAGGCGCGGACGAAGCCACAAAAGCACGCTAATGCCGGTCGCGGCAGTGAAACGACTTATTAACGGCTAGACTAAAAAGGGATGATAAGCCATCTTTCTTGGACACGAGTAGAAAAGCAGGGTCGTGTTTTCCAATACAAGCAGATCCGGCCTCTCTCTTTCTTAATATTGCGATGATCAGGATGATCTGAAGTGTAAAATCTTTTTCTAAAATCTTGAAATATTTCTAGATTATGCTGTAAGTTTCTGTCGGGAGTATTACATATGTTCTTCATAATGCTTGAATAATTGATATAGAAACTTTTAAAGTTAATAATATATTTTGAATAATTATAGTAAATATTGTAAGATTAGAAACTCAATTTATTATAAAATTTCTTAATAAAATTAAAATTATAAAATTAAATTTCTAAACGAAATTGAAATTAAATGTCCAGGAATTAAATTTGATGATAAACGAATTGATAATGTTCAAGGTCGAATTATCAATCTAATTAATTCAATAATTACTACAGAAATGTATAAGAGCATCAAGTGTTTTAAAAAATTAATTGGGAAATTGGTAAATAAATAAATAAAAAATCTTAATGATAATGATATTGATAAATTAAATAAAAGATGTCTTGTTAAAGATATTATGAAGACACACATTATGAAGAATATTACATACATATTATGTAATAATAAAGCAATACAAAATGAAAACGAAAGGAAGAAAAAGGGAGGGAAAGAAGGGAAAAGGATAGAAAGAATGCAGAAAGAGAGCAAAGATGAAAATTACGGGAAGAGAGGGAGGAAAAGAAGCGAGACGAGAAGGTAAAAAAAGAATTCGCTTGCTCTCTATAACACGTATAATACTGTGGGTCCCATCGATCTATCAGATGAATCCAAAATTTCTTTTTAATAATATTTTCGCACGCCTGTACAAAAATTAACAAATCGCAATGTAAATCAGAGTCCCGATATTTTTCACACGCGTGCGTTGTGCTGAAACTTTTAGATACCGTAATATAATTTTCCTCTGTTCTGAGAACAATTTCACGATTTCGATCGTAAATGAACAACTTCTCAAGTAGGACAACGCGGAAACTTTTTAGTAGAAAAATTTCTCGAAAGCCGTAAATACGTGGAAATATTGAATTTTGGAATATCGTAGAACTGGCACGGCGCGGCGCGGCGCGGCATAAAGCGAATTAATTTTCACCGTGAGTCGGAAGACCAGGCTTCCGGTTGCGCATACATATGTATACTTGACAGGACAGGCTGCTGGAGGCCTTGGGGTGGAGCAAAGGGATGATAACTTGAAAGGACTGGAACTACAACGGGAACGTCGAATGTCGGTTGGAATGAAAATTGGTATAGACGTCGTTCGCTTGCACAAGTCCATATTGTATGACACCGCGAAATTCAGATGATTTATTACGTAATATCACGCGCGGAGACCCCGATTTCCTCCTCCTCCACAGTATCGTTGCCGCAGCATCGTCACGCTATCCCTCTTCCGCGATCATCCCGCGTTTCTCTTCTCTTCTCTCTCTCTCTCTCTCTTCCACCTTTCTATCGATGCGGTGCCACACTCGAACACTTTTCAATTGAAAACTTCAATCGAACACTTTCAATTTGATAGCGAGACGCTCGTGTTCCTGCCGATTACGATCGAGTTGTCGCGACAGCTTTGTCGCATCTCCTTACATTAATATTTCGAGGACTGATATTTAGCTTCGTTCCGGTTTACTTGAGAATTTCGAGAGCCGATGAAACGTTTTCTTTTTCATACGTGAGACGTTAACGAGAATCGAGCAGAATCAGCAGAGTCAGCGCATTCGTCACAGGTTGGTTACAGCCAATGCGAGATGCCCATCGGTTCACACCAACGAAAATGAAGAGCATTTTCCAATTTTCGTCTGGATATGACGTAGGTCTTAGCCCTCGGAATCCGGAATGCTCGATACGTGACAGCATTATAGATTTCGTGCGCGAAAAAGGTCGAGGACAGCCACGGAATGATAACGTTTTTCAACCGAGAGCCGATCACAGGAACCTCTTTTTTGTCTTGGATATATAGCAAGCCAGCGGAAACGATGTTGCTCGTGATGGTTAACGTTCTCTTCTTCGTTTCTCGGTAGGGAGAGACGGACAGAGCGATGCGAGGCGAAGAAGAAGGAGGAAAACAGTCGGTTGTGCGAGAGCTAGCTACCCTCCGTAACGTGTTCGTGATATTTTATATAAAATAGAGATCACACTCTATTTCACGCGATAAATGGATTAATTCGAAGAGCCAATATACATGTTGTATATAATTTACCATTCCCTCTTTATTGTACAAATTGCAATTTATAGATAGATATGTATACACAGTCTCGTCTTACACTTCTTCCTCTTAATCCATCGTTGGCCCATTACGCAAAATAGAGCAAGATTTGTGAATTAATTTAAGTGAACACGCCATTTGCCAAAGGAGTGATTGTCGAATTGCAGTTGACTTACAAGAATTACTTGATTTGTTAGAATATCAGAACATGTACATGTGTCGTAGTATATTATTCCGGCTACGCAAATAGAAAGGGAAATGCGTGGATTTCTTATGCAAAGATGCGAAATTTCGCCCCCAACGTTTTCGCTGGGCAACGCAGCATAATTGTTCTAAAACATTTAAGCTGCAATCTTCTGTTCCCTCCGTCGCGAGATCAAGAATTCCTTCTTCAATCTTCCTGAGAACGGAATTAGTAATTTTGCTCGACTGTTGCTTAATAGCTACAGTGAGTCGAAAAAGTATTTGATACATCTACTTCTTTTGCAATATCTTTGCGAAAACAGCTGATGCTTTTGATAATAAAGTCTGTTTCCCGTCAATTGTTTGTCACGTAACGGAAGTAACGTGCACAGTAGCTATAAAAATTCGGGAGTCAAAGAAGAGTATAATTTTCAAGAAAGAAAATATTGTAACGGTACTAATATTGTATAATATTGCTAATATTATACCTTTTATTGGGTGTAGAAATTATATTAATATTAATATTAATATAATTAATATTATTATAATTTAAATTACATAAATAAAATATATTCCTCTGTGAAAACGAAAATTTTATGTTCCTTTTGTATAATGAATAAATCTATCTACGCATATAAATAATGTAGCGTGAATAAATAAAATATCAATTTTTTCGTTCTTAAAGATAAAATTCTTGATATAAAATCTAACTGTCTTAATGTTGATAATGCAATAATTTTTGTTTCCTATTTCAAAATTAACCGTAAATATGATTGATACATCAAAATAATTGACATAGATGTATAAATCGTGATAACTGACTTATCTATAACTCTATGACTCAGTCTATATTTAATGGCAGGATGTTATTAAAAAAGTTGCAAAATATTCTTTCATATGTTTATTCGAAATGTTATCGAATGATGTCGCGTCGATACCAAGAAAATACGCTTGTCTTCAAACCATTAAAAATATATATTGTATAATATATCCTGTTCGAATATTTTAAATAAAATACAGAATATAATACTCTATACTCAGAATATAATGCTATATACTCAAATAGAATATAGTATTCTAAATAAAAACCTCTCATAAATTGTTTAATATATAAAATCTAATTCTATTAAATTAACACGAGTTATTTTCTTATATAAAAGGATATTTTGTAGCTTTCCTAATAACATTCCATTATTAAATATAGATTAACCACTGAAATTTACAAGTGTATCAATACTTTCTTGACTCTTTAATTATTGTTGTCTAACTCATTATTGGAAATTGTTGGTGTATAAATTACTTTTGTAATTAACAAACTATTTATGAAAACAGATTTTATTATTTGTTTTTACAAAGATAATTCAAAAGAATTAGGTATACAATACTTTATATGATACTATTTCTAATAGAGACAAAAATCCAGACAATGTCGATGCACGAATTTTCTATAACATAAAGTATTGCATAAATTTTATATATATTATATATAGGTTATAATATTATATTATATATAGATTTTATATATATTATATATATAAAATATAACATAAAGTATTGCATAAATTTTATATCATAATTTATATTATAATATATATAAAATTTATGAAATACTTTATGTTATAGAAAATTCATGCATCGATATTATCTGGATTTTTGTCTCCATTAGAAATAGTGATAGAAATAGTATCTCTAATAGAAATAGTGTCTCTATTAGAAATAGTAATAGAAATAGTACTATTAGAAATAGTATCATAATCGCTTTAAGATAAAGCATCGTCGGTCTAATATTGAACCAAAGTTGTACGTTAAAAACGAGCATTTCCATGATTTGATAATAAATCTACGTAAATCTCGTCCAGAACCTCATTGCTCACTCTTTTAGAAATATTCACCTGGAATAACATTGATTGTGGATCAACGTTCCAATTCCGTTTTATTATTAGATAGTTTCATCGAACCTAAATTTCATTTCTTTGTTAATTGATCAACGCTTGACAGACACATATTTCTGCAAAAACTTTATCTCGTTAACTTTTCGCGAATTGGATTTTCTGCTACAGTGTCGTATATTTCATGCTCTACTGAAACCAGGAAAGCACATGCGTGTAAGTACAGGTGCAGCTGTTTCTTATTATCTGTAAGTTAAGTCTCGCCAGAGCAGTACATTCGCAGAGTATCGTTAATTACATATCAGTGGTTTAGGATTGTAGCTTTACATACCTTGCCGCGCAGATTGCATCATAAAGTAATTTTACAGCTGTAATGGTAGGATGGAGCGGAGTAAACGTAGCAGATGCAACGAATAGATGCAAGACATAATGCGAAATTGGAGTTACGAATGACCAGGAATCCATGGAATTAAATCTTAAAGAAGCGAATTTTATCCTGTTTAATGTTCTCTACTGCTCCTAATATTTTACTGTTACGTTTTTTTATCGTTCTCTTGTTCTGTTTTAAATTCTTCACTGACGTTGCGTTACTTGAAAAAGAATAATAATTTCTTATATATATTTCTAGGCTAAACTGAAAAATGTCGGGTTTAAATGAATAAAACATCGGCCTTTGTCGGTAGTTAAAGCATGATTGCAAAGAAAGTCTGTTTTTGAGTTGAAAACTTATATATAAAAATGATATATAAAATAAAATAAGAGTAATTATATATAAAAATATTTTAGGAACACATACAATGCCGCTTAAAAGTCTTAAGACACTTTTTGGTTTTGATACCAGTCAGTTCAGTATTTAAATAGCTCGTTCATCAAACTGGCTAACTGTAAAAGAAAAAAAAAAAAAAATAGAGAAACTGATAATGTAATATATTTTATAATATCTGTGACAAAATAGTATACATTTTTGAGATTCCTTGTAAAATTTGTAAAATTCAAAGGAATCTGTGAAATATACATGTACATGTACATAATATACAATGGATCCAGAAAGTATTCGCACACTGTCTAGATTCATTTTTAAGTGTGAACTTTTACAGTACTGAGTTTCTTCCAAAGATGGTTTAACATCATTTTTAGAGAAGTCAAGTAAATATACTCTTTCTCTCCACATTGAAAAAGCTTTTTTCATAATTAAGTCCACTACTTGTCTACTCCTTGAAATTTATTGTCATTTCTTCTCGTGAAGTTGTGAGAGTTGCAAGTATCGATAAATAAAATATTAACAAAAAGTATCGTTTAATTTTTGTCACTTTTGATATAGATATGCTCCTTTTAAGCGGGGGTTCTATACGTAATATGAACTGGAGGAAAATTCAATAATCCTTCCAAGAAACGTTCAATACCTCATATCAATTTAAATATTGTCCTCTTTTTACTAGATAATATATAGTGGATGAATAGGATATTTAATTATTTATTGCTTATCGAAAATAACGGTAGCTTTTCACAAACAATATTTGAAGTTTCAATTTTTTGATTTTGAAATGAATCGAGTGACAAGCCCAGTCAAACGATCAGTTCAAAAATTTGATTTCAAATTTTATGTTGATTGTTATTTCTTTCGTTCGTTAAACTCTCGTATATAAAAAAGATGAAAATATATAATTTCTTTTTTCATCTAAAACTTATTCTATGCATTGTTTTCTATATTAAATTATTTTCGTAAAAGTTCCTTTATTTCATTCGGCCTTGGTAGAAATAGATACACACAGTTATGGTAGGAACAGGAATATATAAAGTGCCATGTGTTAAGCAGAAATATACGTAAAGTGTACGTTTAACGTTTAATCAGTTGGCACACTTCTAAAGAAGAATATAGGTTTTGCGTAAGTCATCTACGCTCAAATATGTTGCTAAAGATTAACATTAGTCAATATTAGTCAAACATTAGTCCTCAATTAGCACATCCTTTCGCTTTTTTAATTGCATTGTATAACAGAAGTTTTCTTTGCTATCGCGAATGAAAGTGTTTGCCCAATAAATACACTTTCTCAATGTTTGTTCCATTAAAGAAAAGTGGTGACTACGTATAATTATGCGGGAACTTAAATAACTTTGACTTACGTTTACGCAAAGGGAAAGAAACTTTTAAATTCCATATCGCGAAATAACCAGCGCTCATAATTTTAACGAGCAGAGTCAAGGGATCAGGACAGTTTGGAATTTCCAAACAATCCATTTTTTTTTTTTTTTTTTTTTTGGTCTTAAACAATAGTTTGAAGTTTTAGAAATAAGATACAAAAGGTTCTAGGCCTTTAAAACGACTTATTT